ATGTTATTTATATTATTTGAATAAAAAATATTATTTACATTATTTAATATATAAATAATATATTTATTATATAATTTAAGTAAAGATAAATGAGCCAAACTTATTCGAATTCGAACTCAATTCATTTACTAAACGAGCGTAATATTCGAATTCGAGTTAAACGAGTCGAGTCAAGTCAAACCCTTAACGAATCGAGTCAAACCAGCTCACGAACAATTTAATTTATTTGCAACCCAACTTATAACTATATTTGATTATTGGACTAGATAGGGTAGAATTATGATTATAATGAGATTGAATGATAAAATTTGAGGGATTTTTTTTTTGTGAATATTTTAAAAATTAAACTATTCATGAAAAAAAATAATTTTTAAAACTATGTATCAAAATAATTGATTTTTTAAAATTATAAATTTAAAATGCGATTTCATTTTGACAAGATCCAAGGTCATATCAATATCTTGAACTTGTATTTTTTAAATGGTAAATTAATTTATTAAGTAGTTGAAAAGTCGATTACTTGAATAGATAGTTTACTTTTTTGAAATATTTTTAAAAAACTCATAAAATTGTTGTATTTAGGTTGAATATGGAACATAATTTGTGTTTGTTTGTAGCTTAATTTGGAATTGATTATTTTAATTATTTTTTTTATATTTTCATAAAATGACGCGTAAAAAATAAAATGAGCAATGTGACAATTTATAATATTTTTTTTTTTGTTATAAACCCAAATCCCCAAACGGGACCTTAATATAGTGATATTAATAATTCATATTGTTACTCTTAGATTAATTCAATAATTATAAATTATTCAATTTATCATGTTTGTTTCTAAGAAATAAATTATTAGTGTGTTTTTTAAAAAATAGATCAACAACTTTTTTTTAGTAACAAATACGATAAAATAACATATTAAAATTTTGACAAAAAATATAAAATAAATATGATTTAAATAACCTAAAATATATTTTATAACAAACTGTGTATTTTATGGGTAATTTGAGTATTTAATTTTTTATTTATTATGAAAAATATGTAAAAAAGTAAAAAATAATATGATAAAAATAAATCAATAACCATCTTATCTCCTTCCCCCGGGCGCCCGCGTTAAACTCATTTTGAAGACATTTGTGTGTGCTTTAGTATGTTGTAAGATAAAAAAATCATAAAAGTAAGACCCAATTTTGCGTATTAAGGGTTTGTTTGACCGGTTTATTAATTTTTTTATTAAATTTAAATTTGCTAAAAAAATTAACTTTTTTTTGCTCCAATGATTTCATCAGATTAGTATCAAATCGAGGATATCAAAAATCTTTCACTCAATTAAGGAAGTCTGGAAGCTTTTATCAAATTACTATTTATAGCTGTTAGATTTTCATTACCGAATGTCCTTCGGATGTCCACCTCTAGGCAAAAATTTGTGAAAAAATATTCATTGGCCGATCGATCAGCTAGACATTCGCTCAGTTGACCGGTGTTTTGATAAAAGGTCAAATTCTTCCGTTGGAGCACTTAATATCAAATAGAGTTTTTAAAAACTTTATATCAAATAGAGTTTTTACTCAAATTTAATGAGAAAAAAAACAAGGAAAAAAGATGAATAGTTAGAGATGCCCATAGTTAGTAAATGTGTGGAGTGTTATAATAGATGCGTGTTGAGTGAATATAAAATTGATAAAGTAGTTAGAGATCAAGACTAGACCGTCTAGTTCGCTATGTGGGCCTACTTTTGGGCCCTGCTTCGATGATCCGAACCGTTTACATTTTAATATTCGTCAATTACATTATTCCTGTAAAAAACTAAGTTAACTGAATAACAACAACTGCGTGTTCAAATCAATTTTAAATGAACCGTTTATTTTTTTTATACAAAATTGTTTTGAACACGTAAGTTTCATTATCCAATCGATTTGATTTTTTACAAGGATAATGTACTCGACAAACTCTAAAATGTGAATAATTCAGATCATCGAAACGAGACTTAAAAATAAACCCACGAAACAGACTGAATGGTCTAATATTAATCTTCAATTGAAAATAGGAAAATGTTTTAGAACTCTAAAAGAAAAACTCTAATTTGTCTTTTTCCCTTTTTTTTTTTTCACTACCAACTAGGAGTGCAACTTGGGGGGATTCAGTCGGGTTAGAGGTTTGCCTAGGCCCAACCCGAATTGTGTTTGGCAGTGCCCAAACCTGACCATCAACCCAAGCTTGGTTGCCCAAACCTGAACCAAGCTTCATAATTTGAACTTGAGTTAGCCCGAATTGTCCGAATTTCACAAGGCAACAAGCAATGCATCATTATTCCATACAACAAATAGTGCTTTATTATTCTATACATAAGTCCATACAATAAACTTAAACATAAACTTGGAATTAAACACAAGCAGAGCACAGACATAGCCCACGACTGATATTTCTTGTTGGTTCTCAGCATAAACACACACACTCTCTCTCTCTCTCCCCATAATCAAACCTATTTTTCTCTCTCCGTCTAGACCCGAGAACACAAAACAGAGTGGAAGAAGATATTCAAAATCTAACGAGTCAATCCCAAAAAAGAAGAAAGAAACAAACACTGAGAGAAATGGGTGTGGCTTAGCTCGAGCGTCTCAGATTGCAAGACCAAGACCGTTGGAAGAAGATTACCCAAACAAATATATACACAAAATTTCACTAACATAAACATATTTTGCAAATCTATTAAGAAAAAAAAATTAAATTTATAGATCCACCGGTTTTGAGTGGTAATCGAATGACGAGTGACCAAAATACAAACACAGAGAGGGATCTACTAGTTTTTTGTGGTGTCGTTGAGAGTCGAAAGGGTGGCGTCGTTGTTGGTTGCTGGATTTCGTATTTGTGGCCTTTGTATCTCCGTCGTTCTTTAATTCTGATGAAAGAATGAAATGAGAGTCTGAGACAAAGAGGGAAGAAAAGAATAGATAATGTAGGGTTTTGTTTTTAGTTTTAATCTAATGGTTCAAATAAAAAATTCTAATCCAAGGGCCATACCAGCCCAAAAAAAAAAAATTAAGGACCACCTATTTAATTTATACATATATTATATAATTTAAATAATATATTAAATGCAATTCGGGTTCGAATTGCTCGGGTTACCCACAGATTCTGCCTAAGCCCGGCCCGAATTACAATTTGGCATCAAAAATTTGCCCAGACCCCGTTCAGATTACAATATATTGTTACTCAAGCCCTAAAACAACTCAAACTAAGTACGAATTGCTTAGATTGAGTCCGTCCAAATTACACCTCTACTGTCAACAGTATAAAACTCCATTTAAAATTTTGTACTTAAAACTCTCTATCATTACCGTTGAAAATAAGCTGTATCCTAAAATAAATTATAAAAAAATAACACTTGAGCCTCCCGCCCATTCCCCCCCTTCTTTTCTTTTCTCTTATGCACGTTTCTTCACACAGCTGGCAACAATAACAATTGTGGTGGAGTTGCTCATAGCAGTAGTGGTGGCGATAATAATAGTCACAGTAGTAGAGGCGTTGACGGTGGCAATAGTGGTGGGCAATGAGTTTATAACGATTTATGTTACTTATACATTTATATTAGATTAAGAGGGCATTTGATAACATAATTTAGAACTTATATGAATCTATTAAGTGATAATTAATTAAATTCGTTTGATAAGTACAATTGATATCACTTAAAAATTTAAATGACTCTTAAAATGTAAGCTAAAAGTTAAGAAAATTTTAAGTCATATGAAACATACTTAATTCTGACTAAATTTATAAATATTAAACATAAGTATCGATATATACTATTACAACTCACCACTACCACCACCACCATCACCACCACCACTATCATGCCATCATTAACGCTACCACTGCCACCACCACTACCATTACTATCACCATTTTTACCACAATTGTCATTTTTATCATAAATACCACTATCATTTTACTATCACCACCACAACCATCATACCATCACCACCACCACCACTACCACTACCACTACCACTACCACCATTACAATATAAAAATTAAAATATACAATTTAAAAATAATAAATTTTAAATTTGATCTTATATATATCAAACAATTATTTTTAGTTTAACAATTATTTTTAGTTTAACATTTAAATTTTTATCAAATAACTTTTCAATTTAAAAAATTCAGTATTTAATTTTCAATACTTAGTTTTTAATTTTCAGTTTTCAGCTTTATCAAATACCACCTAAGTATCTTGCTACTTAAAAATGAATTTAATTAAATTTTATTTCAAGTATTGTATTAAATTATCAAATAGCTCCTAAATCATGCCCACCATATCTAGCAAAAGTTGTTTTACAAAGCCAAACGAGAACACCCTTGGTGATTTGTTTGGATTTTTAGAGTGATACTAGTACTATTATAATTTTAATAAAAAATATTCTAGAAAAAATTAATTAAAAAAATTCTGATTTGTTGAATAGAAAACATGTGAAAATATAAAGAAATTTTAGACCACAAGGTAAATTATACAAAGTTAGATTTAATATAAAAAATCTCATCCTTCAACTTGACCATGAAAGAGTCTTTAACTAGCATCGCACTAGTGTTATTTAAGATTTATCGTTCTCTTGTTAGTTTTAGGCCATTTGAAGATTTGAACTCACAAGATCAATTACATACACTATTAAATTATGTTTAAAGATTGTAATAATTCAAAAAATTCAAATTATTCAATTACTAGGTGTGTTTTGAGATAGATAAATATAAAAATAAAATAAAAAAATGGACATAAATAATTTTTGCACCCACAAGATAAGCATAGCATCTCATAGGCATGGCTAGACTAGATGATGATGAATTGCTAGCAAATTAATTTGTTAGTTATAATTTACAGGGATTATTTGTTTTTATTCTCTCCTGTCGTCTTATCTTAAATTGTATCATATGACCGTTGACTTATTTTAATAAATTTTCTATGTATATATGGAGGGGCCAAAGCTATGCCTCACATTACACTTAAATTTTCTGATAAATTATTTGCCATTGAAATAACAAATGAGAAACATACCCTTAAAACTTTTTTACCAGTTCAGTGCAAAACACTTGAAAAAAGTACAATGCCAACCGACTTTATTACAAAATCTAAACTAATATTATCTCATAAAATAAGAGAAACACAAACCCATATACAAGGGTAATACTATTCTTTTTTTTATTTTTTATGACCAGGTGGGCTTCAATCACATTGATCCATTGCTAGAAGAAGAAGTAGAAGAAGTGGAAGAGTGAGTGTGTCTCAGTTGTTCTTCCTGGAGATGTTAATGAGTATTCCATCATCAAATCGCAACATTGGTGTTCTTGACACATTTCCTCCCTTCACTTTGGTCCACCTATTCTCAAAGAATTAAGAAAGATCAATACTGACACAGAAAACTATGACATATACCAACTTGTGAGAAGTCAATATATTTTACATGACTGGTGTATCTTGTCTTCAATTATCGAATTTACCAATATTAAGGCCATAAACAACGAAAGTTATGTTTACCAAATTTATATAATATTAGCATTTATTTATATTCCGCTGGACTTTTTACACTTTTATGTTCATATTAATTTAGGTTTAATAAAGTCGTGTTTTAATTTGATTCTTTAAATTCGACTTGAAATTGGCTCAAGTTCAAGTAATTTTCAGTAGTCAAACATAAACACTTTAAAATTCGATTTGATTCTACTTGACTTGTTTATAGTTCAACTTACTTGTATTCGCTGATCAAGACATGGATAAAGGTGGCAAAGAAAGCCTTGGCCAACTCTGCACCTGCACATTGTCTGGTCCCTCCACCAAAAGGCATGAAGTTCTTTGATTGTGTGTCTTGATCTATGTCCTGTTCTCATCAAACAAAAAAAGAAAAAGAAAAAATTGAGTTTATCAAATGTCACTGACCAGTAGTACACTTACGTTGAATATATGAAGTAGTGTTATATAAACAAAAATCAATACAAAATGATATAGCAAATTTTGATTTTCACTTAAAAAAAAAGAAAAAGAGAAGAAAAACTGTTAAGATGCCTCGTATATATAATCAATCAACGATATTAGCCTGTTAAGCGTAGAACCTTTGTACTTGATTAAGAAATTAAAATTTTGACTTTCACCATGTGAGTTTATATATAATTATGATTTATACTGTAATTGATTATTCATTTTATTTCATTTTTAATTAGACACATTGTAATAATAAATAATAAAAGAAAGATGAAGAGTTATATTTTTAAAACTGTTATTACCACAGATATTTTTCTTTCAAAGAAGTGATCGAAAAATTGTAAAGACGATCACAGAATCAGATATAACTCTCTCATATTAATAGAACTGATCAAATGTAAAAGTCCCACCCAATATGAAAGAATTGTGTCTGATTTCATGATCAAATTCTAAAAGTATACTAGAAGAGTTGAGATCAAATGATGCACCTTCCAACGCCTAGGATTGAATGAGAGGGGATCTTCAAATACTTTGGGGTTTATTTGAAGAGTAGAGGTCACCACCATGATAGTCCATCCTGCTGGAATTGTGTAACCTGTAGACCAATTATTCCACAATTAAATTCAGATATATTTCAATATTAGTGTGACAAATAACACAAAAATTAAATATAAAATTTGTACACAATAATGTTGCAAGTTTTGATTTTATTATTTAAAAAAAAAATCATTAAAAAGATTTATATTTATAAATTAAAAAATAGTGTTTGGTTTGAGTTTTTTGGATTAAATTTTTTGAAAAATGAGTTTTTTGATTTTCGTATTTTTTTTTTAGTGAATATTTTTAAAATTTTAAACATTTTTTTTTACTTTTTTAGATGCACCTTATTTAGATGTATCTAAAAAGTAAAAAAATTGTGAAAAAATATTTTTAAAAATTAATAAATACATAAAAATACAAAAAATGTATTGAATTCTCGTATTTTTTTGTATTTTTGGTATTTAGTGAATTTTTAAAAGGTTTCTTTCACAAATTTTTTACTTTTTCGGTATATTTATGTTAGGTATGTCTAAAAAGTAAAAAAAATTTGCTTAAAATATTAAAAAATTCAGTAAAAATAAAAAAATACTGAAAATAAGAAAGTAAAATTTTCTAAAAAGAGTTTTTGAAAAACTCTAACCAAACATGCTGATCAAATTATTTTTTAATCCCGGGAAAGGTAGGATTGGATAATACCAAAACATGAGGGATTGGCAATTTGGTGCCCAAACAATAGTCCGATAACAAATATCACGGGGCAAATTCTGAGAGTATTTAATAATTTATTTATTTTTTATAAATTCCTTATATATATTTTTTTCTTCTACAAATTCTTTATAAATTGAAAATTCAAATACAATCTTCAATCTTGAAATGTAAAACTATTTAATTGTTACTACATACATACCATTATGTGGAATATCTTTCAATGCTCTTCTTAAGATCCCTGGAAAAACATTTCCCAATCGAAGGACTTCATTGATAAACTGCAAAACCAAACATGTTAGTTAATACCGCAATGTCAATTTTTTAGATTGTGTTTGGATTAAAGTTTGTTAGAGGAATTTTGAAGGGAAAAAGAAACAAGAATAGAAAAAGTTTATGAAATAAAAGTTATTATTTCCCCTACTTTTTCCTCTCCCTCTATAAATCCATGCTCAAATTTTAATCCAAACATGGTCTTAATGTGCATGAAGAAGAATTGGAATGAGAAGCCAACCTATATATAATGTGTACTAATATACATAATTTATATACAAAATGATGTAAAAGTGTTCATTTAAATGATATCTAATTATAAAAATGTCTCTGATACATCATTCTTGCGATAAATTCTATATAAATAACATTATCTTTGAAAGATTAGTTTGAGAGAGTGAGAGAAGCTAGAGAGCGAGAGAGAGACTCTGAAATGTTTCTATATTTGTTATCATTTACAAAGAGAATGAAGTCTCTCTTTATAGAGAGAAATATGGGCATTGGATACCAAAAAACCCACTACCAGCGAAAGAAGCTATACAATTAACAATTACACGGAAAGCATAAAGTAAAGCTATACAATTAATAATTATAAAGCTAAAGCTATTCTAATTAACAAGTATATACTAACAGCCCCCTGCAAACTCAAGAAGGGAAAGCATCAACCAAGTTGAGTTTGGAAACAAGATCATTGAATCGGCCAGGAGGATGAGCCTTAGTGAAGATATCAGCGGGTTGATCGACTGAAGCAATAGGAAGAAGATGAACAGTTCCACAGGTAACATGCTGGCGAATGAAATGACAATCAATCTCAATATGTTTGGTGCGATCATGAAAAACATCATTGTGAGCAATCTGAATGGCACTCTGATTGTCACAATAGAGAGGGGTAGAATCAGAAGAAGAAACACCCATATCAGCAAGGAGCCAGCGAAGCCAGAGAAGTTCCTGAGTAGTATCAGCAAGAGCTCGGGATTCTGCTTCTTCTTAGGGGACTCTCTTCTTGCTTGGCGTAGCAAAAAACAATCCCTCACTGCCCGCCC